TTCCGAACGCGTTGTTTTTTAAGAAAACGAAACACATATTCGGAATCAGCATAAAAAATTACATTGAAAAAAGTTCATTCCATAAAAATATTCCAAGAGGAGATTTTCCCTATTCATTTGCAGGTCCTCCTTTATAGATTTACATTTGACTAATTTTTAGACTTTGGGTTTTATATTTAAAGGGAAATTGATTGTCAATTTAAACCAACATTTTACAATCATTTTGTTGGTTTGAGATTTTGATTTCTTTAATTGAATGTTAATTTTCTGGTTTCTTTTCTGGTTTAGATGCGAGAAGATTGGAAATATGTTGCTCTGGTTTTGGATCGGATATTTCTCTGGTTCTTCACTATGGCCTGTATTTCGGGTACTTTTGGTATTTTCATTCAAGCTCCATCTTGGTATGACAAGACTCAACCCATTGATGTTCAACGATCTCATATTGCCAGGACTTATGTTGCTGATTTTCCCGAGTTATCTGAGCTTATCCAGTGATGATCAAATGCTCTTAAAAGGCTCTTTATTGTTGCGGTTATTGAGCATTTTGACAACGAATTTGAAGCTTAAATTTGATTTATTCATTGTATTAAAATGTAAATTTGTCTCAATTGATATACTATTTTAATACCAAATAAATGAATCGTAAATAAAGATTTTCTCGTTTCATTTTTATTGTACTTTGGAAACAGAAATTTCTATTTCCATTAGTAAATGAGTATTGTTGGTTGTAATTTTTTCGTAAATTTTTAAAGATATTGTTTTAGTTTAATGCGATTAAATGTATTTTGTGAATTAAACTGATTAAAATGAAATAAAACCTTTAGATTTGCTTTAGAGTTTGTTTTATGGGTTTACTTTGTTTAAACTTGGCGCTCTCTGCACATGCACCTTTAGGTTTTGGTTTGCTTGTTTACCCGGGAAATCATCTTGTTTTGTTGAACACTTCTCGTTTGGTGGATTTGTTTTTCTTCTTCTATTTTGTTCAATGGGTGTTTAGTTGATTTGTTTAAATTTAGTTTGTTTCTACATTCATACTGGCTTAATTCAATCTAAATGTCCAATCGACGCAAGAGACGTAGTAATCAAGTTGACCAGGAGCTTAATGATGATGCTCCAGATGAAAATGTTGATGGTCCTTTCTCTAGGGGTTCCATCATCAGGATTCGTCTTAAAAATTTCATGTAAGTTTAATTAACCTATTTATTTATTATCTTAAGACTCTAGATTTGTCAGGCTCTAAGTCTAAATCGTTTATTTTATTCGGAATCTTAATTGTCATTGTTTGTGAATCTATTATATACATATAAAATATGTTTTCATTTTTTTTCTCAGGACGTACAAGAGTGTGGAACTCCATGCTGGGCCTTATTTGAACATGGTTCTGGGTCCAAATGGAACTGGTAAATCAGCTCTAGTTTGTGCTATAATTGTTGGTTTAGGAGGAGATCCTTCAGCCACCGGACGTTCTGGCCAACTTAATGAGTATATTCGATTTGGTTGTCCTTACGCTCAAACCGAGATTGAATTATTCAATCCATCAGGTGATAATTATGTTATCAAGAGAAAAATTTCTACTTCTGGGGATGGTAAAAGTAAATCGGATTGGTTATTGAACAAAGTGCCAAAAAAGTTATCTGAAATTAAGGAATTGATATCAAGCTTAAACATTCGAGTTAGTAACCTGTGTCAATTTTTACCTCAAGAGAAAGTGGTAGAGTTCGCTCGGATGAATCCTGTACAGCTATTGGAAAATACTCAAAAAGCTGCTGGCGATGAAAACATGTTTACCACTCATGAGAAGCTTATAAAGTACAGCGATAAGATCAAGGAGCTTCGTAAAAAGAAAGCCAATTTAGATCAACAATTAGCTACTGATCAACACTTAACTGATCGTTTGATTGAAGCGGTTGAACGAGTTAGAGAAAAGGAGCAATATGCCGAGAAATTGAGTTGGTTGCAAAAAAAGAAGCCTTGGCTCGAATTCGAGCAAGTTCGACAAGAATATGTTGAAGCTAAGGCAAATTTGGAGAGACGAGTTAAAGAATACGAAAAGAGTAGGTCTCAAAATAAGCCTTTGGAAGAGAAAGTCGACAAGGAGAAAGCAGCCATGAATAAAGCAATAGCTGAAACTAAAGCGTCTTTAGAAGAGCTCAAACCATCAATTCACCTTGTTCACAATCACAAAAAGGAATATGATAAATTATGTGATAAGATAGCTGAGGCCTTAACCGAGTTGGATGGAAAAAAGAAAATTGAAGAAAACAGAATAAAAGATGTTAAAAAGTTAGAATCGGAAAAGAGTTTGCTTCAAGAAAGAC